TTTTTGGTGAATAGACATACCCTCGAAATCCTATGCACTTTCAAGAAAAAAATTTACAAAGTGAACAAATTTTTTGGCGAAATTCAAAACTTTCAAATCATTCTGAAAAAATTATTTCTGATTGCAGGAGTCAATTAGAATCATTTTTGGTGAACACATATACCCCCGAAATCCTACGTAGTTTCGAGAAAAAAATTCATTACCGAAGATATAATGTCTGACCATGAATGAATGATTCCTTTGATGTTTCAAAATGCAAACATTGCGTATTAATGGGGCTCTAGAGGCCCAGAAAAATGGGCCTAAGAAATACATTGGATGTAATGTCTACTCGTATACCTCGTCTGTGCCAATACTTTTGTCCATCAATTTTTCGTTACGGGTATACTTTTTAAAAAATGATCTATTACCGCGTTTTCGAGGCAACGCGAGATCGTTGCAACGCGAAGCGTGGACGAGACAGAGCTGGCCGTGGTACCAGTGAATATGTGCTAGCTTCTCCCTGCGAAACGTCCACGTGCAGCCACGTGCGGTTGTGCACAGCGGTACACGTGGTCGCGCATGCCGATTTCTCAGCCGCGCGATGAAGTTTCAAAGCTCACGGCCATCCCCCTCCCTCGCCCTCCTCCCCACGTGTTGATTTTCGCGCGTTCGATTCCGCTCTTTCTCGTCCGTTCGCGCGCGTTCGTTCGACTCCGATCGTGGTCGTCATCGTGCAACGTAAGTAGTAGTGGCAGTGGTGGTAGTAGTAGAACGTCGAGAGAGAAACATGTGCGAGATCGAGCGACCTTGGTCCCACGCGGCCATTGGCCGGAACCAAAGGAAGCCGACCGAGCCGATTGGCCCGCTAGATCTATCCGTGATCTAGCCTCGTGCATGCGTTCATCACGCACCCGTCTACCGTGGAATCTGGCGGCAAAATTTTCGTTTAGAGGGGAACTAGCTCGCGCGCTCTGCATCGCCGACCTTGTCCGGGCATTGACCGTCGTTTTCGCCCCGTTGACTGCCTTTGTCACCACACGGGACTGCCTTTCGATCGTAATCGGCCCTCTTATCTCTTTCGCGAGGCCTCGAATCGTAATTGCGTACCTAGCGGAGAGAAAGGGAATTTCTAACGCGCACGAGATGCACGGAGTATCGTACCAGGGGGATATACGACGATACTGGACGTACGTATCAAGAAAATATTCCGACTCCAGTATAATCTCAATATTCTACCGTCGTATGCCCACTTTTTCAAAACTATACGCAGAAACGTGGCGTTGCTTAGGCTTCTATAATTCTAGTAATTACATTAGGATATGAATATATACTTTCGTGCTAATTATCAACCCTTAAGTGGATCATTGGGGTCCTCCACAAGTTTAAACTAGTATTGTACATGCAAATGTTATTGTTTGAAAATTTATGTAATCCTCCATTAGTTCACTACTTTTTAAACGCTTTAAAGTTCATTTTATGGTAAAAGGTGTTATTACAAAGCCGATAGTGCTAGTATCGCGCCCAAAAAAATATAAAATAGAAATAGAAATAAAAAGTTCATTTCCACTTATCAAAATCAATATTAAGTAAAATAATTCGGTTGAGATCGAGAGTCCACTTAAGGGTTAAACGTTTAATTTTAAACGTATCGAGTATCTTGAAACAGGAAATGTGTATGGCCGTCGCGAAGCGAATCAGAGATGCGATAATAATCGGTGTCAGTTTTGTTGAAAAGGGAACGAGAAAAATTAATTTATGCTGTTTCCGGGTTCTGCTTACAGTACGTTAGACGTGCGCGGAGTAATAGAATCATTGTGCCCGATAGAGGAGGAAACGATGACCATCGTAGGTAAACTGAAAACCCTAGCCCATAAAACTTTGTACCAGCTGGCCTTGGAATATGAATAGATTTGTCGGCAAAGAGTGCATTGTCCCGTTGCGTAACTGCGCGCGTGTTATTTGCAAGTTTCCTCCTCGGAGAAGGCTGTACCCATCGTAAATCGATTTCACATTCTGAAACAAACGAGTTTCATTGAAATATCCCCTCCACCGATCGATACTTATAGATCAGCCAAACATGCTCTTCAAACTTTATTTTACGCGCGTAAAAAAAGCGTCGTTGCGAATTGCTCTTTTTCTTTTTTTAATTTTCAAACGAATATTTACGCGTGAATTGTATATATAGTAATCTTTTTTCGGGGTTGCTTGTTGCAATAACAAAAGTTTCGAAGTTTCGATCCGTGAAGTTACGAAAGCCACATCTTCGAAGTGTTTTACTCCAGCTATCGATATGATAATAATGTATTCGATATTATTATCGTGCAATCCGAGCTCGCTATTAATACGAGCGATTAAAAACTTTGTGGAATTGGTCGAGCGATAATGTAGGTTCGACGATAGCGTTAAAATGGTAGTATATAAACAAAGAGAAATAACACGCGCATTATCTGTTTACTGGTTCATTCAGCTGAAAACCGTACTCGCGGCCGTCCAATGACTGGATGACGGTACGATCGTACACAACAAACACGCTCGCGAGATCTTTGCAGTTACATAATCGCTCTCGCAATATTTTTTGCAACGTGTGCCCACGTTACATCGTGACTCGACGAGAAAATGCGTGTAGCGTATCGGTAATATAAATAAAGATCAGTCTATTAAAATTGCTCTATAACGTGCTTCATAAATCGAAACCGTGCGATATTTTCTAAAATATCGTGAATCCTTAAAATTCTATTCAATATCAAATTTAAAAACTTGTTCGATTTTTCTTGAAACCTCGAATCTCAATCTTAGAAAGATTCATTAGAAATATTATTTTAATGCTATATACTATTTGAAATCTTTTATTTTGTAAATTTAACCCCAACTCTGTTGTAAAAAGATATCATATTATCCGGTCGAGTAACGAGAAAGCTTATTCACGATCGATAACCAGAATCTTGTGCGAGTTTTTCGAGACGCAATAACCGAATCGCGTCGCCGCGTGTTATTCTGGCATAGCTACACAAAGGATGCGAGAATGCCAGGCGCGTTTTCCGGGTCCTGGTTGCGGAGCCGTTGGCATAAGCGATGGCATAAGCCAGGAACACGGTACGCAAAACGCCCACACGCACACACGCAGGCGGTAGCGCGCTCGCGCTATTGGGTCGTTGGCCCCTGCCACATTTCCAGGATGTATATTTGGCTCGGATACCTGTAACGATACGCACGCTGCTATATTTGGCATGTTGCAAATAATCGAATACTTGTATTTCTACACAAATCATTACGGATCGATCTTCCACTTTCCACGGACGACTTTTGCAACGAACGTTCTCGTAACCATTGTCGCGATAATCCGCTTCCTCGTGGCCGGGAATACCAAATTTAGAGGATGATATCACGAGTATTTGGATCAGCGGTTCTTGATCCTTTCTCTTTGCACTCTATGTTATATTCAGAATAACGTACTTAAATATTCCTCGAATCAATGTTTATTAACCATCGGTGAATTCCTGATTTGATCAGATATAATTCGTATTATCGAGATTAGAGATATTAGAGAATCTTAAGTCTCGATTCCGTCTTAATAAAGAACTTGTGTACTTTAAGTGTTTTTTTTTTTTTTCTGTCAATTTCGTTTCGATGGACGAGGATGAAAACGAAACCATTGTTTACCATCCTCCGAATATCAAGGAGCATCGAAGAACGCGATACGCTTTAGTTAGGCGAGCCATTCCGAAAGGCAGGTGGTTTCGGCCACCTGGCCGAGCGTTTCTCACATGTCTTCTTTTTTTTGCCGCTTGATTTCCTTATTCGGAGGATATCGTGTTATTGCGTCTCCTCGCATCTTCCTCAATTCATGCACAGCCGACCAGTGACAAGGTTTTTTTTTGTGGGGTTTGTCAGGTGTCTCGATCGAAAGCCAGTAATACGATAGACGGGTACGTAATAAATAATACGTCGTCCCTTTGGCTTATCGCGTCGCGTCATTATTCATACACCTACGTGCATAATAATGACGTTGAACGCAAACCATCAGGAGTCTAATAATACATTTTTTAAGTTCACGGTAACAAAACTTATTTACCGTAAAATGACAAAAAAAATATATATATTTGACTTTGTTCAACGTCCCATAAATCGCTACTATTCTCGTTTAAACCGACGATCGATCCAAGACAAGAATCGAACAAGACGAGAAAAATATTTTCCTCACGGATTTGTCGTACAACCTATACGGTGCCATATACGTCAGACGTGCACGTAATATCGTATTACACGCACGTTACACTTGCGTACGTGAATTGTAAATTACGGAAGATCGTGTCCGAAGATGACCTACATATCCAACGGGCTGCAAGAAAGGGCATCGACGTCAAGCTGGCATGCTCGGGTTCTTTATGCTCTCTCGGAAAGGGAAATAGAGAACGAGTGGAAAAAAAAGGGGTCGACGGTCACCACTTCCTTTGCACGCCAAAATTCCCGCGGTCCCCCGGGACGATGAAAGCCGTGAGAAAATGTGGACAGAATGGGAGTATCTCGTGGAAAATGCGCGGTCCAACCCTAGAAAAATTAATCGGTATTTGTACCGCGACGTTACATCGTCCAGCTTTGTTGTACGCGATACGACGCGTTCGATCCTCCATTCTTAAATAATTCACGTTCGAAAATACCTTCAGAGACGGAAATCCTCGTCACTGTTCAAAACGTAGCAGTAGAATCGATTTAAAAAGCGTGAATGTATTTTCTGATGTTATATGAAGTTCAGTGTTGGTCCCAAGGATCGACATATAAATCGTATTGAATCGTATATAAAGATCTATCGAGAACAGAGTGTTTCGTTTTTTGAAAATAACAAAGAATCACGATTGAGCAATTGAGCGTGAAAGAACTTGGGCTGCGCTTTGTTTCGAGGGATCAAAACTTATGAACGATGTAGGGTGGGAAATTTTTGGCTTTTTTCAGCGACCACAAGCGTTAATTTATAATATGTTCCAATTACGGTAAAAACAATGTTATTGCATATGTTTCAGGGGTAACGTTCAAGGCACATAGGTTGATCCTCGCAGCATGCAGCAAGCACTTTCAGGAGCTCTTCGAAGGAATGCCTCCTTCCCCGGCGGGACTGATCGTTATTCTCGATGGGACGAGTGCCCACAATATGGCATCCCTTCTTGAATTCATGTACCGTGGAGAGGTACACGTGTCCCAGGAATCTCTCAGCTCTTTCCTCAAAGCAGCCGAATGCCTCCAAGTATGCGACTTATTTCTTTTTCTTAAATAATTGCCCCGGAATAGTAGTCACGTGCAGTCGGACGCGCAGTTTGCATTCTTCGGTGAACAACTTTTTTATTTTTGGCCACGATTAATGGTCAGGAGTTCCTGTTTTAAAAGTCGATGGGAGGGACGGGACGACGACCCGTGTTCGCTCGAAAATCAAGCTTGACTCTATTACCAGTCGGTCCAACGTTTTGCCTCGACAGAAAAATATTTATATATTATAATAAAATTATTTTACAGTATGGTTGTACGCGTGTTCACGTTGTAAAATTGTCAGGAATCGTATGGAAAATTTTTATCATTTTTACAATATATTTTACATACCCGTGTGCGATTTTATTCGTCGTTCGATAGTTCTGATATAAATGAAATATAAAATTATTTTAATTATATTAGAAAATTGTTTAAATAAAAAAATAAAATTTAAATAAAATAAAGTACAAGGTAAAAAAATTTTTCAACATAAGTTTTTCTAGCAAATTAATTACCAAGTACGAACTAGGTTTTTTGAAGTTTCTCTGGGAACCAATAATTCATAATGTGAGTCTTGGAATACGTTTACGCAGCAGCGCTCCAAAATAGAACCTGCTAACAGTCTGTTGCGCGAGAGAAGATGAATCTGAAAGGGCTGACAGGGAATCGCATGAGTCATTAGCCACCGATTTAAGTGAAAATTTTTAGTCAGGGTACATGAATGGATAAATCAGCTTCCTGTGATTCTTACTTTTTCTGGTGGATACAATTTATCCTTCTTTGGCAGAGTATCGGTTCTTAACCCAGCTTCAAATACGGTATACTTTGCTTTATGTTATTTCAACAGTAACGTAGAAAAATTTTAGAGTGATTTTATAGTTATGACGCGAAGTGTAGAATAAATGAATGTTTGTCGACGAAGCACGGTGGTCCCACAGAAATTTCTATAGCGCGGTAAGGTAGCCTTCGTGGGCGACCTTGGGAATCGCGACCTCCCTTTCATCTTGCGCAACAACTTTTAAAACGTCGGTTGTCCCGCAGGTAAAGGGTTTGTCCATCGAGCACGAAAAGCTGGCAGTGGCGCAGAGGCACGCCGCGGAGAACAATAATACGTCGACGGAGACCGGGGGTGGCGTTAATGGCGGCGGTGACAACGGGAATAGCGTCGGCGGAAACGTGGGCAGCGTCGGTGGCGGCGTGGGCGGTGGTATCGGCGGCGTCGGCGAGGTGAGCGACTTGGGCGAAACGGGTGAAGCAACCATGGTGAGAAACACTATGAAGAGGACCCCCACACCGGCACCGTCGCCCGCCCCTGCCTATACCGTGCCCAGCGTCTATTCTACCTCTCACTATTACGAAAGTCCACCGAAAAGGCTGATGAGGTAAGCCCTTCCACCTCACCTTACTTTACCGCACCTCGCGAAGGACTCGCGCGTGAAATTTTCAAATGGTACTCTCAGCTGACTGCGACACGCGGCCTTCCTACGTTCTAATAGCGATCGTACCGTGACTCGAATTCCGCGCGCTATAATTAAACGTTCACCTTCTTTCAGGCTGATGGTCAGAAATTCAGCACTTTCTTTTCCCTGCATTTTTATCTGTTTCAATAACTCTGACCCTCAACCGGACCCTAAATCTCAATAGAATCATTTTACTCGATGTTGATTTTTACCAAATTGGTAAATGGAAATCAACTTTCCCTTAACACGTTGACTGCCATACCAAACTCCTCAAATTACAAGGGAAATTAAATTTTGTTTATAGACAAATGGAAACTAGCATACCCATCATTTGTTATTGAATTTATTTTCACAGACTCGTTAAAATTCAAGGACCCTTCTTCTTTGACATTTAAGTTTGAGAATTAATTTTTTTTAACTCCTTGGTGAAAAGTCGTGTCACCCATATGTGGGTGACGTGGCAGTCAATGTGTTAAAGCATTTAAAAAATTAATTACATTTACCTATGTTAAACAATTATTAGTTTAAACTTGCGCGATAATCCACTTAAGGGATAAAATCGATCGTGCTTTCAAATATCCATTTCGGGTTGGTTAAAAGAAACTGTTTGAGTCATTGACATGTCCACGCGATAAAGGAACATCCAATTAGTAGGCATGTAAAATTTTAAGAGGATTCATCGATCCATTTGTTAGACGTGTCATTAACCCATTTGCATCATCGCTCTACTTAAGCTTCCGCATCGAAACATCAGCGACGTTCAACTGACGATAGTAACAGTCGCGGCTCGCGGAATATTCCGCGCTTGGATGCAAATGGGTTAAAAAGAGACTTCAGGAAACATGCAATAACTTGAATAACGATATTGTTGCGTGAAAAGTATACTATGTAACCTGGCATTATGACTAAACGCACGAGAAATTAAAATTCTTACTGTATAATTATTTTAAAAATCGCCTAAACAGAAGAGTCTAAGAGTTTAAGAGTCGATTCCTCGAGGCAGATCTATCGCTACTAGAATCCTATTCAATATTTCCAATATCATAATAACTAAATGCCTCGTAGGACAGATTGTTTCATCAATTATTATGTCTAATTAAGTAATGGAGGTTGCCACTAGAATCGATGCAAAGGAAAAGATTCCATTCGGTTCATTGGAATCATTATTTAAGCACGCTTTCGCATCACGAATCGTCTATTGAGGGAGGGGAGGGGATATTTTTAGATCGCCTAGCGACGTTGATTCTTTGGGAAGGGCAAGTGTGCTGCGTGACGGTACTGCCTTCCGGCCCGCATCCGCGCCACATCCGCTTCTTTTGGAGAACCACTTCTATCAGCCGTTCACCCACCCCTCAGAGACGCCCGCACACCCCCACACTGCGCCGCACACGCCGACGGAATTGGAACAGGAATTGGAACGATCGAGGTCCGAGGAACGTAGCAATTGCGATCTCAAGGAAAGCGTAGCCGAAGGTAAACACCATTATGCAACATAATTATTCGTGTATTATCCTTTCGATATTTTAATTCAGCCCTGTCGATGATTTTGCATTCACCGTTTTCGATCAATCAGAAACGAGAAACCTTCAAATCCTTTGCAAAGTTTCCGTAGAGATACGTAAGGTTATCCAAATCGAGTGTCCTTCAAATTGAAATAAAACGCAAACTGTGTGAGATATCTCAGGTTTCTTTATTTTAATATAAAGTCCAGTTCGTAACATTGATCGTGAAATGTCGTTTAAATGGCTTATTTTCACGAGCTCGACAATTAGCTCGATTATTACATAATTGGCGGTCTATTTTATTGAAACCTTAAACTTTAAGCTTAAATTTTAATCAAACGCTCATGTTTTCTTAGATCTTCGAATAAAGCAAGAACCGGTGGCGCTGACTGATCGCGAGAGGGCAGAGAAATTGGCGGAAAGACTGTCAGGCGAAGTTTATTCCGGAGGCAGGGGATTCGACGGTAGCCACTACGGCTCAAACTCGGATCACATGCAGCATGGGGCGCAAATGGGCTCCGCCATGGTCCCATTACCACCGGCTCACCCACCGACTCCTGATCTCAGTCCTGCACCCACCACCCCCGCTATGTGGAACACGAAGATCAACAAGGCTGGCACTGTATCCACTCCCGATGGTGAGTCGATCGATTCGTCAACATTTTATCGTCACTTCGATCAAACGTTTATATTCTCTCCATCTGTCCTCGATCAGCGGACTTCGGGTCCGTTTGAACCCATATAAACCGTTCATTTCAATCGTCGTGAAGTGCTAGTTCTTGAATAAACAGCGAGCAAGATTTTAAAATTTACAAATACAATTCAGAATTCCATCAAAATGGAGAACATCATCGATCAAGTTTAATGGCCTTTTATCGTTTTCACTGTAAAGAGTAGAGTGAAACTTTGCAAGTTTGCTCGTTTAATTCCGAGCCGCCGTGTATAAGAGCGAGCATTATCGTGTGCGTACAATTGGTCGTTTTGCAAACGCACCACGTGTCTTTCGATCCATCTTGAAAACGCAGAACGCGTATGCGAACGATTACGCGACACGTAATCGAGGGATTCATTGAGATTGACCCGTACTCGACACGAAAACATTCGTTTACTCGCGTCCCGTCGAATTACCAACGAGATCGTTCGACGACGATGCGAGTAATTAAAATCGAGCGATTACGGGTAGCTAATTACGCGCCGCGATAATTGCCCCGGTTAACGCGGCCGAGAACGATGTCAGAGTTTTATCTGGGTCACAGTGCGACGTCGGAAAGCAAGGACTTCCAGATCTAACGTTACCAAATGCACGGTTAATTGTTGCATCATCGGCTGCACGTGGAGCTTTCTTGATGTTGCAACTCGGATCTCTCTCCGCGTTCTCCCCTTCCAGTCGAAAACGTTCTCTTCGCCGCCCACGAAGCGTTTAGAATAGTGATTCGGCCCGTAAGATGAAACAAAATGCAGGTTTAAAGTATCCTTGAAATCTAATTTGTGATTCGTTGGTGATACGCGTCCCAGAACCTGAAACTTCAAAAAGAAACTGTGGTAAACTTCTTTCATAACAACTCTCGAGTCTACATTGTCTACAACAGCGATTCTCAACTTTTCTCAACGTTACAGCACATCATTGTTATGCTGTATAGCTGATACTTAAAATTTCTTTAATTTTTTTTTGTTGTAAACATCATTTTTAAATTTGGTATAATTTGGTTCGACTCGTATCCGGAATAGATTGAGATCCATCAGTCTGTACTATTATGTAACATATTTACATTCAGTCATATCTTCCAAAGCTTTACAAAACATATTCGTTTACTTTATTCTTTCGGGCCTGAATTTTACGCACAATTACCGATCGAGTTTTGTAACGGATAATTTATTTTAAAATAGTTTTGGACTATGAATGCACGGTTGAAAATACCTGGGAAAAGATCGATGCATAATTTCGTAATTATACATATATGGATAACGTATTATGCAATTTAAAATATCATAATGCTTTGTAAATGTTAGAAAGAAATGTTTTGCACGAAGAAGTGTCGAAATGACCAATTTTACAGAAAAATGTTTCAAGAAGAACGACATTCACGACGAACTTTAATATACTGTGCATCCACGAAATCATCTTTGTGCACAAATAGCCACTATAGTGACCTCTTGTGAAATCATTCCTGTGTACGGATGGCTACTATAGTGGCCACCTGCAAAACTGTCCCTGTACACGAATCTCCGCTATTACTGGACAACAGACAAATGAATAATTAAACTTCGCATGCAGGGAGTTTCTCCTTTGCTTATTTAACTGATCTCTCTATAGCAGAGACCTGTAACCAGCCGCAATTATATAATAATCGACCGAGCCTCAGCGTGCACTCCGCGACAAAAAGATAGCTCACCAAAATTTTGCGATAGATCTTAAATTATTGAACATGTTACAATTGCCCCGTGTTGCCGTTGACCACTCGGTCTCCTCTGCAAGAGTGGCTGTCCTCGAAATTTCGTGTTTCTTTCCGTTGGACGTGGTCCCCGATCCTCTGGTTCGTCGGCGCGGCGCTCTAACGCAGAGAAAGAGAGCAACGACGCCGTTAGGCAGGATTTACGGACGCTCCTCGGTCGACGCCCACCTCGGGACACGTTTGCTATACCTTAGGACGTGACAGCGGCCGCCTCGCCTTCACGGTGTGAACAAAGTGTACAAAGAGGATGCAGGCGACAACGGCGGTGCAGCCACTGGGAATATCTTTTGCTCCGGCGAGCAAATCACCGGGCGTGACGCCGCGACGCCACGTAAAACGGTCCGCGTAGGGGTGGCTCGGCCACCAACACCAAGAGACACCGCCGTCCCAGGATCGGTGCGACGTCGCGGACGACGCTTTAACCATTTTTAATCGGTGCTAGATGAGCGACCAGCCGCGGCGGTAAAGAAAGAAGCGAACCGGCAACTAATGCAACGGTTATTGACATTAACCGTGCTCGAGCTGAGCCACGAGAAAAGGAGGCGACCGGGAAAGGGACAGGGGGCTGGCTGTGTCCACGGAAGAGGAAAAGACCGAGGAAGCCGAAAGAGAAAGGCTTTTTTTTTTTCTCCCCCGACGACCGTTTCGTCAGCCTCCGTGACGCCACCGGGGACTTCTTGTCCAATTTTTAACGCGGCTGTTTGCACCGATTTTTCGGTGCAAATATTTTTCGCTTTATCAAGCAATTAAGTACAACGAGTCTCGTTAACCCTTTGACATGGCATCACGTTACAGTCGGTCCGGCTGGATATACGTTAGTGGACAAAGGCAACAAAAATTTCATGTACATTCGGTAAAGTCTTACAGCTATTACAGGTAAGCGAGAGCAATGTCAGGAACTCTGGACGTTTTTGGAGTATAATGTTTTGAAATGATGATAGTTCGTCTTATTAAGCATGATACAAAGGTGCATTTTATTCAACACTTATTATACATTTTTGAGATAAGTAACATAATGTAGTTAATTGTAATATATCTTCGAGAATGTTTATAGGGATAGGAGCAGAAAACACACGATTACGAATAATAAATTTATAATTATTTCGGCCACTGTATGTTAAGGCATTTGATTCAATAAGTAAAGGAATTACTTTATAAATATTTAACTGCTTTTTATCCTAAAGTTGGACCAGTTAAAGTCGAATAGAAAAAATTGCAAGAGAATTAGAATTTTTCTTAAAATTTCTCGAAATATAGGAAAAAGAAGTCGAAGGTTTGTGGAGCCCTTTATTCAAAGAAAATAAGATTATATTTAAGAAAGAGTACACACGAGATTATCGATTATCTTCCAAGAATCATCGATTTCGTGACTCAAATCAGCTGATGATAAGATATAATAGTTGAAACACATCAATTTTGTAAATACGTACTTTCAAACGAGAAAATGAGTTTTTCAAGATTTTTCATAATATTTGAATATCTATAAATTATTCGAATAATATGGAAGTGCCAGTTCTTGTGCGAGAGCCTTCGTTTCAAGTCTGTTAGACCATTCTATTAACGTGCAGTTATAGTAGGTTTGATTTTGTCGTTAGGCGTTAGGTTTTTGTTAGAGACTGCTGGCCAATCGCGTCGCGCTCTCTTTCCAGCGGGGACCATTCGTCTCGATCAACTTGATTCTTCGACTTTTTTCATAGAATTATACATATACTCCCTTATAATAATGTACACTGTGGCGGCCAAGGCACCACATACGCCTTAGCCGTTCGAAGCCGCTACAATGTATGGTTGCACACGAGACGATGGTTGCACACGAGACGACCAGAGCCGCGTGAGCCGAAAAGCCGTTGTCGTCGTCTCTGACCGTCTTTTGTTTTTGAAGGCCTCTTGGTACGGTGGCGATGATCGTACCAGAGAGTCGAGCGTAACCCGCACCACGAGTCACGTCGTTGTACGACAGCAACAATACAATTGTGCGGAACGGAACAGAGCGGAGTCATTATCTTCCCGATCCCACAACACTATAAATGTATACAAGTCGTAGTCCAGTTAGAACTATAAATTCTATAATTTTCAGATTCGATACGATTCAGATCCAAACTAAATTAAAGCATGTGTATCGTATGAGAAGATGCTGAAATATTATATTTTGATAACAAAAATATAATTTATATATCATTTTCTTCAAACTTCTCCGTGTACCTTTTCGTTCAAAGAATCGATATATTGTGTGTCTTTCGTCATATACCATTCAAAGGAAATACTTTCTATCTCTACTCTTCTTTCCTAGTCACAATGGAATTAACGAGATACCGTTGGAAGCGTAAACTTGGTCCTACAGTTACGAAGTAACCACGAAACGGATTTTTTGCTCTGTGGTTGCGCGAGAAGAGATAAAAAATGTATGTGTTTTTAGTTAAATATAACTTTTCAATACGTGGTTGCATGCACATCCCTTCGACTTCATTTATACAATACGTATATTCGTAAAATTCAGGTTCACAGTTCTGTTCGATTGATCAAAAGTAGACAATGATACAAGCTCGATAGCAGTTCAGATAAGAGGTCGTGAAACTTTTTTTTCAAGTGGCACAAATATTACATAATTTTTTACTTTAAGGCCCAAAGGGACTAAAATTATTTCTTCAAGTAAATACGCTTGATTCTTTGTTCGAATAGAAACAGAAGAAAAAGAGAAACTCTACTATATTAAAAAATATTTCTGGAAAGGAAATCCGTATCGAAAGACTTTTTCAAAATGTGTGGTACACTCGAACGGAGCCGTCACGCAACGATATTGAATTATAGATGAAAAGGCTGGCAGTTGCATTCGCGTGGCGGTGCACGGCGTCCTTTTCCACTTACTTTCCCTTCGGTGTTCTCGTTCTGCTTCCTTCCTGGCAAGAACTTCAACCCCCGTCGGTGCAATTTCGCGCACGTGCCTCGTAAAAGTTTCACCGAGGCGTGCACGCGTTACGGCGCCGGAAACACACGAGTACACTGACTCCGGCGTGGCTCGCTTAAACATTAATTCGTGGTTTCCGACTATTAATTCCGTATGCGGGATTGCCGCGACGTCTGCGCGTCGACATCGAACGCTGATGGTCTTCGTGTTCCGAGAATATTCGACGCTAACTCACGGAATCGCTCCTTTGTCGGCCCGTTTTCGTGAGCGCTCGGTATTA